AACTGGAACCAGACTAACTGTGGAACCCAGTAAGTACAGAGCACACTGTGGTTTTCATATGAAAAACGTGCGTATGTGGAACTGATTCAGTAAATGTCAGGCTTACGTACTACTTTTATTTTGAAAATCGTCAGTCTTTAGATACGTGTGGAAACAAAAGATCCTAAAAAAGAGAATTTTAACTCTTTTAGTTCTACAGAAATAAACAGATTAAACATTGACATCAGTAAATACGAGCACAGCACGTTAATATTACACCAGCCTGACAGAAACACTGAAGAAGTAAAACCATAACTAATAAACAGCAGTGCTGAGTTTGTGTTGAGGGTCGACATGTTGTGTGAAGGATGGTGGATTTAAGCTAATGTTTGGAAAGGGAACCAGATTAACCATTGAAACCAGTAAGTTCTCTGATCCAGGTTTGTGCTGTGAAGCTTCATGTTGTGTGAATGCTGGATATAAGATGTTGTTTGGAGGAGGAACCAGATTAGTCGTTGAAACCTGTAAGTGATGATATGAATTCAAATCAACATTCAGGGGCTCAAAAATGGTACAAAGAAAGTCAGACCGCAATTCAGCTTTTCTGTGGAACCAAAGTAAAAGTCCAGTTCGTTTATCAGTAACATCGTTGCCATGGGGATTCTTTTAAAGAAGCACAGATAATGATTAACATGATGATTTAATGAGAGTTGATTTAAATATTTGAAAAATATATTTGTGCTTCCGGGGTCCATCTCAGCAGCGTTTCTGCACTGATGGTGTTTTAGCACTGGCGCTTTGAACTGTGTGAATGTTAATAGGATGATTTTTGGAGGAGGCACAAAGCTACATGTTGCTGCCAGTAAGTTGAATTCATTTTAATCTTAAGGTTACTTGGTATCATTAGTGTCCATATGATTAAATATATCACATATATAAATGTTTACAGTAGGAGGAAAGTCAGCTTTTGTGAAACTCCGTCACTGAAAAAGAAATCCTGAGGATTCAGACAAACAGAAACGTAATACAAACGATGTTTAAATGGTTTGAGCTCCAAACATGTTCGCTGCATGTGAATGAGAACAATGATGGATGTCTTTGTTCTGTGGGTCAAACACGTGAGTCTGACCGGCCAAACTCCATCAGCCACACATAATATACACTTTATTCAACAAATATCACTTTAATATTTCAGTAGTTCATTTATTATTAAGTGAAATGAAATCTCCAGAGTTCTGATCTTTTTTAACAGTTAAGTCTTTTATTAGAAATGCAAAACCTTCAACTGCAGATTTGCAAAGATATAAAAAGATCCATCGTGAAATTCAAAGGTTTAACGTATATTTTCTATTTATTTATTATGTTATCTGGTGTGCTGGATGACAGCAGCTCTGTCACTGTGAGTTTGTGTTTCTTATTGTGTGGAAAACAGAAACAACAAGCTCGTCTTTGCAGCAGGGATCAGACTGAACACTGAAACCAGTAAGACCAGTACAATAAACCACGATCAGAATAAACTGAATATAATGACGATGCGCTTTACGCTGATAAAAATCAAATAATGAAACAACAATTTTTATAAATGTTAATCGCAGTGACTTTAACGTCCAATCCTAATGATTTAAACTGACTTTGATAACAAAATCAACGTTCTGTGAAGGACACAATGAAAGTTTTATATTTTACTTTTTATCATTTTTATTAACTGAATTTTCACTGGTAAATTTTAACAAGTAAAATTGTTCAGTCTGTCAGTAAAGTTTTAAAGTCTATATGTCGATATATGTTACACAGCCAACTGTGGCTCTGTTTGAGCCGTCTCTGCGTGGAGTTGTGCTGATATCTTTCACTGTGCGTCTCTGACTGGAAGCTACAAACTGGTCTTTGGCACAGGAACCAAACTAATGGTAGAAACGAGTGAGTATCTCTGTGCGCTAAACAGCTGCTGTGTCAAACATTTAGAATTAACGTGACAATCAGCTGCTCCAGTGTTTCATGTTAACAAACTGTTTGATCATTCAGTGAATAATTATTTGTGAGAGTCCAAATATCAACTAAATGTATCAGACATCAGGGGAAACACACACACGTGTCCTGACACATGAAACTGTGAGCTCGTAGTTGTTGTTGAGCGTCGGCGCACTGTGTGACTGGAAGTGGAAACAGAAAAATAGTTTTTGGCGAGGGAACTCGGCTGACTGTTGAAATGTGTGAGTATCATTTCTGTTATACATCAAGTGCATAAAATCAAATAATAAACCCTCCAACAGTGTTGCTCAGTCTGACTGTAAAGCAGTCACAGTCACTCTGAAAAGACAATCAGGTGGAAAAATCTCATCGTTCCTTCTTTGTACAGACAAACTTCATCATGTTCAACTGTTTTTATTTTGCATCTTTAGATTTAAAATAATTAAAGCTCCTATAAAACCAATATTTTCCTCTAAAATATGGTTATTGAAAGAACAGTTCAAGTAAAAACTCAAATTTATAGTTAAGTAAATTCATTTTGCATCCCAACAGATAATCAGCAGCATGTCCTGTATAAGTGGACATCACAAGTCTTTCTTCACATTTACTTTTAGAAAAACCACGTATAGATTAGCTGTTGTTGTGTTGTCACACACATGTGAGCAGTGGCAGCCAGTTTGTGTTGAGCTCAGATCCACTGTGTGACTTCTGGATCAGGAAACTTCAAATTGATCTTTGGAGAAGGAACCAAAGTTTCTCTACAAAGCAGTGAGTGTCAGTTTGTACTTTGACACTGTGTGAAATATGAGATAATAACATGCTAAACGAGCTCCCTGTGAGTCAGCCCTTTGATACATTCAGCTGTTTTTAACCGTTGCGTCCACACAAAGATGTCCTTTCTGTTTGGGCTTTTCAGCAGAGCTCAAAGTGCTTTTATAGTAAATGACAGATTATAAAAGTGTTAGTTTGGGTTAGAGCAGTGGTGCACGTACAGCCTGGAACACATCCTCTCTGACTGCTGCTCACAAACCTAAAAACTGACATTTGGAAAAACACATTTACTATCTGAGCATTGGATACGTGATACTGGTGCACTTACACTGGTATCTCTTGTACTGGTGATGTTGTGCGTCCATGTTGAGCTTTTCCATATATGCAGCTCACAGATCACGACTTCAGTGTTCATCACTGTCGATCACTTATTTGTGTGAGAGGAGCGACTGTGTGACTGCGACTGGAGCAAGCTGGAGGTTATTCTTTGGGGCTGGTGTTAAATTAATCACTGAAGCCAGTGAGTATCCAAATAATTCAAATAATATATAAACAATATAGTTACTGTTTCCTGTAACATACTGTACATTTGTTAAAGTGATGAAACTGTGAAATCCTGAGAAGGAGAGCTCAGTGCAGGACTGAAACACTGCCCACAGCAGTTACAGCTACTTGTTGATTTGTGAATAAAAACAGCTTTTTGATTTAATACGATACTTAACATGAAGTCCTTAATCAGAGCACTAATGACCATTACATCACCTTCAGCTATGACACCACAGTTAGAAAAGCAGAGCAGTTTAGATGTTTCAATCATTATCTGGAAGAACTGCAGCCAAACTCAAAACGGACCCGTGTTAAAGTTTTAATCATTTTCAAATACTGGAAATATTTTCAGATTCAGAAACATGCTGCACGTGTTCACTACCTGTTGCTCTTCCATGTGTCAGCTATGAGTTTATGTGGTAGCATTTCTCCAAGTGTGACTGGAGGCGTCAGACTCCTGTTTGGTTCTGGCATTAAACTGTCCGTCAGTTCCAGTAAGTGCAGTTTAAATTTTTGCTGTTCTGTTAGTTTGATTAAACAAATTTGCTAAATAGTTGTTTGAGAAGCAGCAATAAAACAACAATATATAAAATACACTCATGACGTCCAGACAAAGTTTTCACTTGTCTGCCCATCGTTGCTGTGGGTAAACGTTCATGTTGCCTCCACTGTGTGAGCTGGAGGGACGACCAAAGTAACCATAGTAACCAGTGAGTAACTTTAGTAAATATTAAGTATTGGACTTAAAAATAATTTTCTTGTACTTTAGTTACCTAAGTAGTTACACGTGTTGCAACAACTAAACACCAAGTGAGTCCTTTATGTGGCGTTTTCGACAATGACTTTAAATCAACTGATTTTACTCATTTTGCAGTTCGATTAATCAAGACGTTCATGATTTATTTAAACACCTTTAAAGGTGAAGACGTTCACTCACGCTCACCTGCAGCTCTGGGTTTAAGTGCTGACAGCGGTCACAGTGTGACGTTCTCTGGATCATCCAAACTCAGCTTTGGTTCTGGCATTACACTGACAGTTAGCTCCAGTAAGTCCTTTTTCACATCCCAAACAATGTTACACTATTATTATTATTATTAGACACAAACACAGTTCTTGTAATGATTCAATTTTCAATTCAGTTTTATTTATACAGCATCAAATCACAACTACAGTCACCTCAGGGTGCTTCATACTGTAAGGCAGACCCTACAATCACACACAGAGAGAAACCCAGCAGGCACATGGCTGTAATACTGTAACTGTTCACATCTGTGCAAACACAGTTCAGCCTCTGTATGTGTTTGCAGTTTAATGATATTCTTCATGTTATAATTAGTTATGTTGAGGTTTTTAGCTATAAAGATAAAAAACATAACACATAAATTACCACAAACCAATAATCTAGCAGTTCTTTACTGATTAGCGCACAGCTTCTTACAGACGACGACCTTCTCAGGTCGTTTTTGCTGAGCGCACACACACTGTGTGACTGGGACGGGGAGCTGGAAAATAGTTTTCGGGAACGGCATAAAAATGACGGTGATGGACAGTAAGTGGAATTATTACCAGCAGTTCGTTAAATCAAACCACAGTTAGTAATAAAAACCAGGTTAGTCCAAACATGGAAAATTATTGCTGCATTTTGGATTATTCCACATTTCATCAGCACTAATTTTAGTTTCTGTGTCAGAGCTTATCTCTTAGGTTTATGTCACTGTTAGTGTTACTGTGTGAAGAACTATGGAAACAAGCTGGTCTTTGCTTCTGGTAGTAAACTCATAGTTCAGTCAGGTGAGTGTTTGTAAACATCTGAGTTTGTCTTTTACTTATTTGGACAGAAACTTTAAACTTTCAGTTCTGTAATTATCACTTATGTTGTTAATGTTTACCTGACATACACGTCATCACACTCTGACCTGCATATAACTGTCACGTGTAGATTTTGGCTACTCTTACATTTTTATATATATTAATATTTCATTTTAAGCCAAATGAGATTTGGTAAAAAATAAAATAAAAAGTAAAATATTATTAGCCAAAGATGTTTTATGAATAAGTTAATATGTTGTTTGTGGGCATGTGCACTCAGGAAATGCATTTAACTGAAGTCAGTTTGTGTGATTGTGTTTTTTGTTGTGTGACTGGCTACGGAAACTCCAGAGTCGTCTTTGGTTTGGGCACAAAAGTTAGAACTGAATCAAGTAAGTCGTTTTTATTTAGGGAACAGAAATGATACAGCGGACGTTTCTCAGCTAACTATCCCCATTTATACCAGCAGTCCACAGATATCTGTGAAGTAAAAGTAGACACAAAGTCTGTTTCTAGAACATCTGCATGTTGTTACTCTTCACTGTCTCACAGATAAAAAACGTACTAAAAGTAACAAAGTGTTCAAAACGCCAAAGTTGTCCCATCATCAGTGATTTGATTCTGACTCCAGTTAATGCTGAGATCAGCTCTACAGTGCGACTGCCTCAGGAGCAAACTGGAAACTTCTCTTTGGAAAAGGAACTAAGCTGACTGTAAACAGCAGTGAGTCGGATTCAAATATTCCAGATATATAATACAGTTTATTGATGACAGTGTTGGAGTTTGATTCAGTTGGAAAAGAATGATTTATAAAAGTCACGTGTAGATTTAACGTGCTACACGTCAGAACATTTAAACAGCTGTTAACAGAATCAGTTTAACTCTGAGATTTAAAAACAAAAACATTTTAATAAAAAACAGTTTTTTTATTAATTGACTCCAAAACACATTGAGTCAAGTGTGTAAACCAGTCTGTTTGTTTGGAGAAAGAAGACTTAAAATAAATCCTAATTTCTTTCGCTGTTCTCCTGCTGAGCCATCAAAACAACTAAAATGAAATCATGTAAAAATAAAAGGAATAACTTTACGTTTTTTATGAAGTCTGACCTCATCATGGTCAGATGGTGTTCTCACAGGAGAATAAATATCACATAATATAATTCAAAAACATGATGAACTAAATCACTATGACTGACATCAGAAACATGTCTCTGTGGTTATTCTTCACCGGGCCCCTACATGTATCACACTTCATGGTGCTGTTTCAGTCTCTGAGTGTGTGACTGACTCTGGGCTTTAGAAACTCACCTGTGGTGAAGGCTTCAGTAAGTCCATCTGTTTAACCAAAGGAGTAGTTCAGTACGTGGAGGTTTGGTAACCTTGGTAATTACAGTTACATTGTGTCTGCCACGTCTACCTTATGGTAACAATATGTGTTTTTTATTTCCAGTCGCTTTAAATCCTTTATAAACACAGGAACAAAAGTCCAGCCTTAAACTGGTTTCATGTATTTCGCCCCTCGCTGAGTCCTCACTGGTTTTTGCTGAGTCTGTTCTCAGTGTGTGAATGACGGCGTTAAGCTCCTGTTCAGCACTGGAACAACTCTGCATGTAGAAACCAGTAAGTCTGAACTGTAGATGGGACTGAAGGTAGTTTTACTACATTAATATTCAGTCTTAAGTAAAAGTGAGGTCAGCTGTTATTGTAACATCAGCTGGTGAATTATTGTCATCAGATGCAGATGTGATTTACTTTGTTGGGGTTTTGTTCTCTTAAACCAAACTCACAGTTGATGCCTGTAAGCTCGTTTTATTCATAATCCAAAGATGGTGTATAGAAGTTATCAGTCACAACATTACAGCGGAGCAATCATTCAGATTAACTCTACAACATTACACACAAAAACATGCTTTAAACTCCAACCATTGAAAAAAGTCATAATTCAGCAGTAAATGTAAAGTGCCTGCAGTTACTTAAAAGAAACATTACAATAGTTTCATGTGTTCAAGAAAGTTGTTGGACAAAATTTCATAATTTCATGACTGAATGCATGAAACTTGAGTTTATATGTAAGAAACACTTCACTGAGTTATCAGCAGTTATTGTCACAAACAAACCGTTTACACCAAATGCAGTTTTGTAGTTCAGGTTTTTGGTTTGTAGCAGCGTGCAGTGTGACTGACTCTGGAGGCAGAAAACTCCACTTTGGAGGTGGAACCAGGCTGATTATTCAAACTCGTGAGCCATTTATCATTTATTAATCATGACTCAGAACTAAATGGGTCCTTTCTGTCTTTGAAACCGTTTTTCTTTTGTCCTGACGTCTTCTTGAACATCATTACACTTTAATACGTCTGTTACAGAGCCACAGTTTGTCAGCACAACACGGAGTAATTGTATTTATTGTATTCTTAAGAGATTTTACAAGTTAATATTTCAACAACCCAAAATAATCTTGAAACGATCAGCTTCATCTGCAAACCAAAGTTGATGAATAAGATTATGATCACTGAGTTTCAGTCTTTTAGGTTAAATTTGAGGTAAATACACAACTGATCCAACGTGCTTAGCTGTTAATATCATTACTCTTATAATTATATATGTTATTAGTTACTGTGAAGATGTCAGCTGATTACTGAGTTTAAGTTAAGAAGTGTTTCACTGTGTGAATGATGGGACGGGAAAACTCGTGTTTGGAGACGGAACCGAGCTGAAAATAGAGAAAAGTAGGTTTATGAAACAAACAAACATCACTGAACACTTCTCATTTTACATTTGGAATATGATTTTTTTTTTCTAAAGTCACAGAAAATACTAATCTCTATTTTTTCTCAAAAAACATTTTTAGTAAATAATAATTTTTAAATAAGATCATTTATCTAAAAACATGCAGAGAGAAAAATGACATTGAACACAAACGTCCTGTAAGGTGTAGATAAGTTATTGATCAGTCTTCTTTAACTGTGTGACTGCATCAGCTGATGAAAAACTACAGTTTGGATCTGGAATGAAACTCATCCTCTCTGACAGTGAGTGAGTCGTGTTTACTGCAAGAGAAGAAGAAAAACGAGGCGTTATTAGAAGTTATTAGTTATTAATTTGATTTTAATTTGATAGTTATTGTTCATTCTAAGAGTCCAAACACTGTATATCTATATAATCATTTAGGTTACAAAGTGCAGCTTTAAGGGTGCGAGGTACGAGTGAGTGAACTAATGTCCTTAAATAATGCTTTTCATTCACATGACAGCTTAATGTTTGGTTTTAAGGTTTAAGCAGGCCAGAGACACTGGTTCTGACTACGTCTGCACTTAAATGTCCTCGATCCATAAACAGCAGGTGACACTTTGACCTGTTCAGTTTCTGTGATGAAGTAAGTCAGTGTGTGAATGATGGGACACGAAAGCTGATCTTTGGACGAGGAACTGAGCTGAAAATACATCAGAGTAAGAGTTTCCCTTCATTAAAACTGCACATCAACGTTCGATGTTTAGTAAATCTCACACTGTTAGAATTCTAAATAATCACGACTTCACCAATCTCACATGTTTGACAGAAGAGACGTTATCAGCATCTGCAACTTTAAAAATGTAAATATTATTATTCTGTCCGGCTTTTAATGTTAGATTTAAATGACATGAGCAAAAACATCCTATAATTTCCTAAAGATAATTCTGTTATCACATTTAGTCACACACACACACACACACACACACACACACACACACACACACACACACACACACACACACACACACAAATCTGTGAATGTAATGAAAAATAAGTCTTTGAAAACAAATATAACTCAGATGAACAGAGTCAACCTGCTGGGATTTTCCTACATGGTCGAGACTTTTAATGTTATTTATTATTTCATGTTTTTTATTACACAAATACATTTAACCTCAGTTAAGCTTCGATCAGCTTCACCTTATTCACAGTTTCATTTGGCTGATTTTTCCTTCTTTCTTTTAAACACTGGATACTTTTCCTGAAACCTCAAAGGATCTTTTACCCAATTAGATTAATTAAATATATAATTAACAAAAGCAAATTGTAGAGATTATGGGGAAAAGGGAAAGTGTAAACACATGATCAGTGACTCATTTAATATCAGTTTGTTGTCTGTTGGGCTCCACTGCTGCTGCTGCTGCATGTGAATCGCAGGTTTTTGTTGCTGGATCGTTCATAGTGTGAAGAGTAATAATTGGAAACTGATTTTTGGTTCAGGAAGTCGTCTGAGAGTTCAAACAAGTGAGTGAAAAAGTGTTATTCAGAAAAAAGCTTCTACAGCAACAAAATAAAGTAGTGATGTGGAGAAAAAGAGGAAACGTCAGCTCTGACTCCCAAACAGTCCAGACTGAGTCTTTTTAACTTGAATGAATTTGATGGGACCTGAGTGATTTTAGTGAGCGATGATGGAACAACAGGAGCAGCAGTCTTTGTTTGGACAGATGATGTTACTTAAATCAAACAAACTCTTCCAGGTCAGCAAAACACAAACTGTAAACCAAACTATTGCTTCTGAATTTCTGATTTAGGTTGTAATGATGGAAAACATTTTATATAACACAGAAAAATGTGTTTATTTATTTAGCAAAAGAACCAGAAGCTGAGTGAAACACGGAGTGTTTGAGTTTTTGAATGCCACTGATTCACTGTGTGAACAGTAATAACAACAAGCTGGTTTTTGCTTCTGGGGTCAGAGTTACTGTACAGTCACGTAAGTGCGTTTACGTATAATCTGTCTGCAGTGTTTAGGGTGGTCGTATCAGTGCGGTCGTTAAATGTAAATTAGTGTCCATCAGTAAATTATTTTTCTGTTCACACATGTTCAGCATTTTTGAACATCCTAAAATATTAGAACTCAGTAAACAAACGTAAATCCTGATTCATCACGAAAGAGTAAGTTTCAAACATGAACATTTGTTATCGTTGCATGTCCCAAACATGCTCTGTTGGTGACGTCTTGTTTAAAGGAAGCAAGTAAAATATCCAGCTCGAGCTCCATGTAGGATCTGAAATTAAACGTACTGTTATTATACTTGGTGAGACGTTTAAGCACACGTTAGTTTATACTTTAACTTAATGATGTGACTCTGATGTGTACAGAAGCAACATACTAGATCCAAACACTCTTTAAATCAAATGTTTTCACACCCATCAAATGACAGTGTTGATGTTGAACTTATATTTCTTACCTTTTTCCTCTGTCACATTTCAAAAGTCTTACACTAAATTAAACACAGTGATCTTAATCATGATTCATATTTAAAGAATAAATAAACTGTATGTGGTGAAGAGCAGTAATTGTCCAACACCACAACAATGTGTGAAGCGATCTGATGCCTCTAAACTCATATTTGGTGATGGAACCAAATTTTTGGTCAAACAAAGTGAGTCAGCGAGATGATTTTAAACATTGTCTCAGTTGTTTTTCCTGACGTGCACCTCAGAGGCAAACACAATCTCTGAATCATTAACTTTATGTTAGGTTGCCATTTATTACCAGAATTGTATCCTGTTAGCAATTAACAAAAACTCAAACATGCTTGTAATGTTACTGATATATTACAGTAAAGTAAAACAATATGACAGACATTTACTAAACTAGTATTATTTACATATACATGGTTAAGAGCTGCACTGGTTTTTGTAACTGGTTTAGCTGCAGTGTGAATAACAATAATTACAAAGTCATATTTGGATCAGGAATCACACTAATTTCATCCTCAAGTAAGTGGATCGTCTGATTAACCTGAAATATAACTGAAATTATTAAATGTTTTTCATTTCCCTGAATTCAGAAGTGAGTTAAATATATGATCTCAATAGGAAATACTCTGCACTTAATGTGATATAAAGTAATATCTGACCATCACTGTATGAAATATTTTTGAAACTAAATGAACTTTTGTATAAATACATAGCAAGCAGGCGCTCATAACTAAAAAGCTCCAATTTAATATTTTAATTGAGTACAGTATTTGTGGACAGATTTATATTTATTTAATACTAAATACTACAACACAGACAAATAACTTGTTTTTATGAAACTACTGCACCAAACACCATGAATGCACTTTAAACAAGTTACTTTAAAACGAAAGACTGAGTCACGTAACATGTTTTATAACGCTGGTAAAAAATATATATTTAACTTAAAATATTAGATAAATAATTTCAACATATATATGTCCACTCGTGTGAGTCACAACAGCTGCTTCCTGAAGTTGTAATTGTGTTGTGATGAAGTAGTAAATTCCTGCTGTGGACCAAATGAAGACAAATCCACATGAGAAACTTCCTGTGGAAAGGCCATTAAGTGAAAGTGTTCTCGTGTTAATAACATGGAAAACTCTACAAACACCATCAGCAGAGTTTTACTAAGTTTCGAAACCGTGTTTTACAGAGTGCAGCATCATTCTGATTATCCTTTTGATGAGTTTGATCTTGGCAGCTCAGATGTTTTTGACCATGTCTGAATCACAGTGTGTCTGTGAGTGAACTCGTCTCTTTGGATTAAACCTCGTTTCTTTGGTCAACAAGTGATCAGAGGTTTTGAGACAAATGCAGATAATTCCACATTATTCCAGTTTGTTCATGAGTTGTTCGTTTGTGTTTTTCAGGGACAGAGTACGAGCCATCCTATTTCAGAGTGGGAGAAGGCAACAATACGGCGTGCCTGGCAACTGGGTTCAGCAGACACAAAGCAGCATCACGTCATTGGAATTATAGCGTGGAATTCCGTGAGACAAAAGCTGTGGCAATATCACCAAACTTGGATCTGTACAACCAGGTGATTTTTCCAGGCGGAAATGCAAAGAAATGTGAATGTAAGTATCAAGAAATTCATACAAATTCTTTTCATCATATAATTAATGACATAATTGGGAAAAAAAACCAAAACATTGATACTTCAGAAAAGTGTCATCAATCAAAAGCTTGATATTCACATTTGGATTTAAGTAGCAGATTGTTTTGATATGTAATTCCCCAATCCACTGAATCTACTTTTGCATAAGAACATTTTATGTATCGTGTGTACATAACACATTAATCTTAACAGAAACCTACATATATGTATTTTACTGTCAGACTACATTTTGTTGTTTCTGCTATAAGTGTGAAATTTGAAATTCCTGCTCAAAAGGAAGATTTACTTTGAAATGAAGCTAATTACCACTTTTATCTGTTTGATTTTCTTCAGCTCCAGGTGATCCCAGCCCATGTGTTGATGTTTTGGAGCCAGGTATGTATTAGATCTGATTAAACAGGTGGATTGAAAGAAGCTGTTTGTGTTTGTTGGCTGACATTTTTCTGATTGTGCTGTTTGCAGATCCAAAGGTGAACCTCATGTCTCTGACCATCCTGGCTCTCAGAGTGATCTTCATCAAGACCATCATCTTTAACATCATAATGACTCTGCGGCTGTGGATTAGTCAGTGTGAGTACAAAACAAATGTAACGTGTTTGTATTTGTGGCCTGGTGACTGCGGAGATGTTCGACTGTTATCTCCATCACACACAGACAGACAAACATGTTTTCTGAGCTTTATTGAACCTTTTTGTTCATTTTCCAATGAGAAGAAAAAGTTTTAGTATACAGACCACTGACAGTTAATATGCAGCCTGCATTTGGGAAACTTATACCTGCATTTGCCAATTTTCCACATTTGAGGACTGCAGAATAACCCAGGATCAGTCAAGCTGTGATATAAACTGAGAGCATGTTAGAAATGGAAATCTGCTTTATGTCCATTGGGAGTTGGAATATCAAAGCTCTGGATCAGAGTTCATAGTCCACATCCTGTCACGTTGAGGCAATAAAATCATTTTGGTAACGGTTTGGACTTCTTAAACAAAAATAATAATAATTTCCAATATTTAAACATGAAAATTTGATGAAATATTTTTAACTGACCAAAAAAAATCCTAAAAAATGATAAATACGGTCCATGGAAATGTGTTGCCTCAGTGGAAATGATACAAGACGACACACGAAGATCCAGTTTATACATCGACCTCGAGATAGAAAACAAGTTGTTTTTTCCCTGATCGTCTAATCCAGGGATGTGGATAAAACCAAGGTGAATGTCAAACTTCCTAAACTCTGTCTCATGAACGTTGGGTGATCTTATAAAATCTTTTGTTTTGCCTTTGAGATTATCAGAGTTAAAAATTCCCTGTGGGAAGCAGCAGAGGATATTACAGAGTCCTCACCTGTGACTCGCGTGGTTCAGTAACAGTGCATGGGTTTCTCTTTGATACTCTTTAAAGCTCTGTCTGTATGAAAAGCTGCTCTTTTATTTCTTCTACATGCAACAGAAACTGTTACATTTGAAAATGATTCTGTTGGTGTTGGTTTGGTCAACAAAGTCCTGAAAACTCTCTCACAGGACCAGGTTAAAGAAAGGAGAGCTACCTGACGTCTTAATCAACAGTTACATTTTATTTTAAAACAGCAGGAATATTTTTGGTCAGTTTTCATATTTAGATAATATTTAAATGTGTCATTTTTCTTGTATCTCCTGGATAGAAAAGAAACTGTGACAATAACAAACGTCAGGTTTCAAACCACCAGCATGTGACGTTTGTTTTTACTGTTTGTATTAAAGCAGCTTCAGTTCACATGAGTCAAATTTCTTTTTTATGTTTTGTCTTTCAGAAACTTCACAGAAATCCCAAGAGGACAACTTTCTGTGTGACTGGATGAAACTTGAAGTTCACTGAGCTTCAGCGTGTATATCATGTATAAATATCATATTACCTGTTTATCATACCATCTGTTAATAACTCTATAGAAGTTATCCTTTAATACATTGTTGATTGATCCAAAAAGTTTGATTTTATGTTATCTTTACATATTGTCACTGATGTTTTTTATGAATGAATTAAACTCTGTCTCGCTTGATGATGTAAATGTCACAGTTATGTTTAACAGATTGTCCTTTCAATCATTTCTTTGTGTGATGTGGTAATAAAAGCTAAAAACAACACAGCGAGATTGTTTTTATTCTGAATTAATTGCATTTATATAGCATGATTCTATTTTTACTGACCACAGCACGTCAGACTGTAGGTCACATGTTTAACCATAATTTTAGAGAAGACTTTCCAAAGAACCTACCGAACTGAACAAAAGTCTGGAGCTCTCCCTCATTTCCTCATTACTTCTGATTTCTAAAGTGACCCTGAGCAATATTTCTCAGCTCTCTGAAGGTCTTTCAACGTTTTCTTTGGACGTTTGCTGCCTTTTCACTCAGTCAGTCTAGTTCTTGCCCCCGAAAGTTTCAGAGGAATAAGCTTTTTGTTTGGTTGGTTGTTTAGTTGCTTACGTCACTTCACAGTGACCTGTTAAACATTTAGGCAGAAAATAGACACAGAGCCTGAGAGCTGCATCAGAAGCGTCATCAGATGTAATCTTAGTGGAAGGGTGACTGTCAAAGCCTCTCTTAATGAAGATAAATGGGATATAAAAGGCTGGGATGTGTCAAATTACACAGGAACAGCTCTAAATCAGTGTCAACAGGTCTGATGGAGTGAAAATTTTAAATCTTTATCACTATGTAAGAAGCGTTCTTGAGAGAGGTACAACAGTAATACAACAATCTGTCAGGTTTAGGCCGTGTCATGGTGTCGGGCTGCGAGTAGTTTTGAGGACCTTGTCAAACTTGATGAAGTTATGAACAGTACTGTCAGATTTTGATCAAGCAAGTCAATTATTGACAAACTATAAGTGTCCAGCAGAACCAGGAGAGGGAGGAGTGACCATCTGCTGTCGCCGTTTAAGGGTCAGGGGAGGAAGACTGGACAAAGACTCACTATAGAAGAGAGCCAGAGATGAATAATATCATTCAGGGTCACCTGGTCCAGCCCTAACTATATGCTTTAGAAAAAAGGAAAGTTTGAAGCCTAATCTTGAAAGTAGAGATAGTGTCTGTCTCCTGAATCCAAACTGGAAGCTGGTTCCACAGAAGAGGGGCCTGAAAACTGAAGGCTCTCCCTCCCATTCTACTTTTAAATACTCTAGGAACAACAAGTAGGCCTGCAGAGCGAGAGCGAAGCGCTCTAATAGGGTGATATGGTACTACAAGGTCATTAAGATAAGATGGGGCCTGATTATTTAAGACCTTGTATGTGAGGAGCAGGATTTTGAATTCTGGATTTAACAGGAAGCCAATGAAGGGAAGCCAAAACAGGAGAAATATGCTCTCTTTCTAGTCCCTGTCAGGACTCTTGCTGCAGCATTTTGGATCAGCTGAAGGCTTTTCAGGGAGGTTTTAGGACTTCCTGATAATAATGAATTACAGTCGTCCAGCCTGGAAGTAATAAATGCATGAACTAGTTTTTCAGCGTCACTCTGAGACAGGATATTTCTAACTTTAGAGATGTTGCACAAATGGAAGAAAGCAGTCTTACATATTTGTTTAATATGTGCGTTGAAGGACATGTCCTGGTCAAAAATGACTCCAAGGTTCCTCACAGCGTTACTGGAGGCCAAGGTAATGCCATCCAGAGTAAGAATCTGGTTAGATACCATATTTCTAAGATTTTCAGGGCCGAGTACAATAACCTCAGTTTGATCTGAATTAAGAAGCAGAAAGTTAGCGGCCATCCAGGTCTTTATGTCTTTAAGACATTCCTGCAGTTTAACTCATTGGTGTGTGTTATCTGGCTTCATGGACAGATAGAGCTGGGTGTCATCTGCATAGCAGTGTAAATGTATGCTATGTCTTCTAATGATGCTGCCTAAGGGAAGCATGTATAATGTAAACAGAATTGGTCCTAGCACTGAACCCTGTGGAACTCCATAATTAACCTCAGTGTGTGAAGAGGACTCTCCATTTACATGCACAAACTGGAGTCTATTAGATAGATATGATACAAACCACTGCAGCACAGTACCTGTAATACCTACAGCATGTTCTAATCGCTCTAATAGGATATTATGGTCGACAGTATCGAACGCTGCACTAAGGTCTAGCAGGACAAGCACAGAGATGAGTCCACTGTCAGAGGCCATAAGAAGATCATTTGTAACCTTCACTAAAGCTGTTTCTGTGCTGTGATGAGCTCTGAAACCTGACTGAAACTCTTCAAATAAACCTCTGCAGATGATCTGTTAGCTGTTTGACAACTACTCTTTCAAGGATGTTTGATATGAAGGAAGGTTGGAGATTGGCCTATAATTAGCTAAGACTGCTGGGTCTAGAGATGCTTTTTGAGTAAAGGTTTAACTACAGCCAGCTTGAAGGCCTGTGGTACATAGCCGATCATTAGAGATAGGTTGATCATATTTAAGATCGAAGAATTAATTAATGGCAGGACTTCTTTGAGCAGTTTTGTAGGAATGGGGTCTAAAAGACACGTTGATGGTTTGGAGGAAGTAATTATTGAAGTTAACTCAGAAAGATCAATTGGAGAAAAAGAGTCTAACTTAACATCAATGGTACTAAGAGTAGCTGTAGATAATATTACATCTGTGGGATGATTACTGGTAATTTTTTCTCTAATGATAAAAAAATTATTTGTGAAGAAGTTCATGAAGTCATTACTAGTTAACGTTAAAGGGATGGTTGGCTCAACAGAGCTCTGACTGTTTGTCAGCCTGGCTACAGAGCTGAAGAGAAACCTGGGGTTGTTCTTATTTTCTTCAATCAGTGATGAATAGTAAGATGTTCTGGCTTTGCGGAGGGCTTTCTTATAAAGCAGCAAACTATTTCTCCAGGCTAAATGATGATCCTCTAAATTTGTAACACGCCATTTCCTCTCCAGATTACGAGTCATCTGCTTTAGGCTACGTGTTTGAGAATTATACCACGGAGTCAGGTACTTCTGATTTGAGGCCTTAGTTTTCACAGGAGCTACAGTATCCAGAGTCGTACGTAGTGAGGAGGTGAAATTATTAACAAGATAATCGACCTCTGTTGGGGTAGCGTTCAGATAGCTGCTCTGCTCTGTGTTGGTACAGGTCATTGGAGATGATAACAGTGGGTGGATTATATTCTTAAACTTAGTTACAGCGCTTTCAGAAAGACATCTACTGTGATAAAGTCTACTCTCCACTGCTGTGTAATCAATTATTGTAAATGTAAATGTTATCAGGAAATGATCAGACAGGAGAGGGTTTTCAGGAAACACTGTTAAATGTTCAGTTTCTATGCCATATGTTAAAACAAGATCTAGAGTGTGATTAAAGTGGTGGGTGGGTTCTTTTACATTTTGAGAGAAGCCAATTGAGTCTAACAACAGATTAAATGCCATGTTGAGGCTGTCATTTTTAGCATCTACATGGATGTTAAAATCACCCACAATAATTATTTTTTTAACTTTTATTTAACTTTATTTAACCAGGACGATCCCATTGAGATTAAAAACCTCTTTTTCAAGGGAGACCTTGATAGGCTGCTGCCTATCTTGGCCAGGTCTCACAGTTACAGAAATTTCTCAATCAAACACAGGCAGCAACAACACACATGCAACAATAAATGAAACAATACAAATAAAATAAAATAAAATTCAATAAAGTTCAAATAAAAATAAAAAGTCAGTTAAAATGACAATCAATCTAATTGAAACAGTTGCATGTTATGGACATAAAGACCTGGACGGCCTCTTCCATTTGTGCAACATCTCTAAAGTTAGAAATATCCTGTCTCAGAGTGACGCTGAAAAACTAGTTCATGCATTTATTACTTCCAGGCTGGACGACTGTAATTCATTATTATCAGGAAGTCCTAAAACCTCCCTGAAAAGCCTTCAGCTAATCCAAAATGCTGCAGCAAGAGTCCTGACAGGGACTAGAAAGAGAGAGCAGGTTTCTCCTGTTTTGGCTTCCTGTTAAATCCAGAATTCAAAATCCTGCTCCTCACATACATCGTCCCTGAGCCTGGTTCTGCTGGAGGTTTCTTTCTGTTAAAAGGGAGCTTTTTTCCCCCACTGTCACCAAAGTGCATGGAGAGTCATCTGATTGTTGGGTTTTTCTCTGTATTAATAGAATCGTTACCTTACAATATCAAGTTCAATTCAAAAAAGTTGAATTGATCTGAAGACTTTTTTTTTGAAAATGAATCAATAAATTAAAACAATTGAAATTTTGCCCCCAATTCACACTGAACACACTGAAGACGTATTAATAATATTTCAGTTGTATTATGAATCAGTGTGAAAGGTTTACCCTCTGTACTACACACAGAATGTAAAAAGAGAGAATAATGTTGCTTTGCAACCCACAACATTTAGTATTGATTAAACAAATGTGAGTATTTAAACAAATAACAGGACATTATAGGTAATTCAACTGGTTTTGTTTTGTTTTTTGCATTGAAACGTGATGGACTTTGAGAAATTCCAGCTGCCACAGGATTAAAGGCAGCGTGTACCATACACAGCTTACAGGGTAAACACACAGGGACAGTCACTCCAAACATCATCGATTTAAACTCATGACCTTCTTGCTGAGTCAACAGCATTGTTCACGGCACCATTTTTACATTTTAATTAATTTAAATTTTTATTTTCAATCATGACTCCTAAGATGTCTGTAACATGCAGCTGATTCTAAAGATAATTCTTTCATGCAGAAAACAGCAATCAGTGTTTGAGATCAGCAGAGCTGCTTAAACTGGAGCGAGCTGCGATCCTCTCTGTGGTTTGTTGTGTTTCCTGTTTGCGCAAAATACAACAACAATACAAAGATAACTGTGTGTGTGTGTGTGTGTGTGTGTGTGTGTGTGTGTGTGTGTGTGTGTGTGTGTGTGTGTGCTCTTATCTTCATGTGAGTACATTTTAACATAAACTTAAATAAATAATGTAGAAACTCACTCATTGGTGCAAAGTGGACGTGAGGCTTTGGGATGTGTCACCAGCAAACAAAGAAAATATATTTATTTGTTTCAGATTTGTTTCATTTCAAAGAGATATAAATCATGAAAGCTGATAAAGTGTATATTAATTACAGTCTCAATTTTCCTTAAAAAATATCTCACTTC